AGGCCAGTTGTGACCACCAGAATGGTGGGTTGCCTAGCAGTCTGCCCTTTAACGTTGTGGTTGTGCATCCCAACATAGTCGCACCTGGAATGTCTTCAGATGAACTCATCCCAATCGAACAAAGTAAGTTTTAGATGATAAGAAGTGTTTAAAAATATGTCATTTCATGTCTAACATTGCAGTATTATTTAAAGGTGCACTCTGTATTTTCCCCCCTCATTATCAAAGTTTTATAAATGTAGAAATTAATAATACATTTGATAAATGTTCAAAATTAGGTACACTCACATAAGGTGATAACACTGCTATAAAGCAGATCTGCAGAAAAATATAATGTATTCGTCCAGCTCAATTCAGCTCTCATCTGATAGTGTCAGTTTAAATGAAAAATATTGTTGAATATTAATGCTGTGTTCACGTGCTATGGAAAATAGGATATTTTCCACTTGTGAACTGCTATTTACCAGTGTGTTGCGTTCAAGTGCTTTTGTTGTCGTAATGTGGTAAAAAGATGGAGATCCAGACCTGTTATTTAGCTAAAACTATTTTAGATTGCTTAAGTCATCTGCTACAGCAAGAAAATGGTAACCTAAAAGGTAAATAATATGCTGTATATTTTCTAGATCATGAATAGTATACAATTTTTTTACCATTCACGACTCTCGTGGTGCTCTCCGCCATTTTGAAACGGTCAAAGGTTATCTCTTCTCGGCAACTCATCCATCAAAATATTCTACGAGTTGCCCAGTGGTAAATACCACATGAGGGGGTGTTCATGTGTATTTTCCACGTCAGCTTTTGGTATTTACCATAATTACCATAGCACATGAACGCAGCATAAGTGTCCCCAATGGGCTATATGCATGCATAAGTTCCGCATTTGACGCAAGGATGCTCGTCCATTTCCGGTTGTGGAGATTTAAGCGGAGGAGAACCGAGGAAAACGGGATTATGGCAGAGTCTTCAAAATTTACTGTCCTCCCGTCTTTGAAACGAAACGTACATACGTTTAGATGTAATTTTATATATAGTTATGTTTATTTCATATAATTTTAAAAAGAAGCATAAACACAACGAGGGGTGTCTGTTTTATCTGTTTTTGTGACTAAAATTCAATATAAATTCTCGGTATTGCATTGGACTCTACGATCAGCGGAAGTTATCGAGCATCCTAAATCCTTCACCGGAAATACCGCCGTGCATAGAGCCCATTAAGCAAGCAAGAGGCAACAGTAGCAAGGAACCCAAACTGGTGACAAAATGGAGGAAAAAAACCTTTGAAGAAACCAGGCTCAGTCAGGGGGGTCAGTTCTTTTCTGGCCAACAAACAAATATGCTGTGGTTTAATTCCAGGCTGGATTACGAGTCAGAAAACAGATTGTGAATTGGAATCATTCAAAATATTTCATCCAGTGCCTTCTGCTTGAAGTTTGGATTCATTACGCCAGTATGGACACGAAAGGACTTCTCTGGTTCTCGTGGTCTTTGCTGAGGATCTTTGTTGATGACTGTAGTGTCGACAAAGTCTTCACAGGGGATTGTCTAGTTGATATGGACCATCTAATCTGGCTGTCTACGATAACCTCAGGATAAGGATGAGACAGACAGATTAATATTAGCATAGATGCCATTCTTCTTATGATGTAACAAAAACATTGGATGTTGTGGGAAGTGGATTTGAATTTATAGAAATGTGATAGTGTGTTGTATGTATTCTAGGTAAAATAGATGCATTATAATCTACTTTTGGATTTAACACAGAGTGTGTTTGCCTCCCTAACAACACTAGGAAGACTGTTCAGGAGTTTGGGTGCTAAATAGGAAAAGGATTTACTGCCTACAGGCGATTTTGATATTCAGGATTTTAGGGGGTGGTGATTAAGACACATGCCTTTGGTGTGAGAGACCCGGGATCGAATCCACTGTGAGATACCAATGTGTCCCCGAGGAAGACACTTAACCCCTAATTGCTCCAGAGGCGTGCGACCTCTGACATATATAGCAATTGTAAGTCGCTTTGGATAAAAGCGATCAGCTAAATGAATAAATGTAAATGTATTATCAACTGGTCAGAATTTGGGGGCCACAATAGACATGTAGGACTATAATGTGTTAAGAGCTCACTCAAGTACTGGGGAGCTCAACCATCCAGTGCTTTATAAGTAATAAACGAGATTTTTTTTTTTTAAATGTATGCAATGTTTAATTCTGGGACCCAATGCAGTGTTGACAGAATCTTCTTGGTTCCTGGCTCTAGTAAGAGCGTTTATTAAGCATGCAGGGCAACCAACCAGTAGAGCATTACAATAATCTAGCCTTGAGGTCATGAACACATGAACTAACTTTTCTGTTAGCTCATTCAAAGTACAGTGCAATTCATACAGACAGTGGCTTAAATACATTTCAATTAAAAAGTTAAAATTTTGTGAAAAATATTTGTGTGATGCTGCATTAATCCTGCATTGTGTCAGTCCAAAAGTCCAAAAATACTGTTGGCGCAACAAAAGCACAAATTTACTGAGTGCACCTTTAAATAGAAATACAGAAGCCTAATTTTTTGTTAAAATAAAACTTGCCTTTGAATTAAAGACAGGGGTGTGTCTTCAGCATTAGCCGCAGGAGGCGTCGGGAAAAGGAAGAGCCGTTTTAGCGGGGCAGAGTTGGAGGTGTTGGTATCAGAGGTGACCCGCTGTGAGGGGGAGCTGTTCGGTCCAGCAGGGAGGCTCCGGCGCCGAGAAAGAGAGCGAATTTGGGCCGGAATACTTGAGCGTGTCAATGCTGTATCTAGAGTACCACGCACTTTAAGAGAAGTGAAGAAACGCTGGGATGACCTGAAGAGACGTAACGGCGGTAGACTGGCTGACGCAAGGCACCGCACCTGCTACCTGCCTTCCAGCAGAGGGGCCGCAATTATGGGAAGGCAGAGTCAAGTCAGTCCAAGGCTCCAGCAGTCTCGTCCAAAGCAGAGCACTAGAGTAAAACCCAGTTTCAGTTGCTTGTCAGACACTGATCCAGGTAACATCTTCAGGTTTTGAGTGACCTCACACATTTGATTCTGTAATAAAATCTCTCAAGCAAGGGAATATTAAATGTTTACATATCTTTTCACTGTTTCAGTTGCAATTGGAGATGGTTCTGAAAGAGATGGTTTCGAAAAGGAGGAAGAAGCTGGTGAGCAAGACTGTGATGATGGAGATGATTGTGATGGTGTGGAGAGCAGCATGGAGGATAAACTGGGCTTAGGCCTGGGTCTGGGAATAGTACCACCTCCGACATCAGAACGCTGGCTACCTCCTTCACCCCTTTACAGCGCACCTTTCCTCAACGGGACCCCTCATACAAGCCCAGAACCATCCTTGGGGACCCATCCTCAGGGCCCCCTGGAACCCCCTCCACCACGCACTTCCTGGCTGGAAGATGAACTTCGTGGACTGGGAGAAGCAGCCATGCAGCTTGGAGATCGCATGGAGCAGAACCTGCGCGAGTTTGCAGAAGGCTTCAGAAGCGATATGCGGACCCTCGTGGCTTCACAAGAGGCCCTTACAAGCAGCTTGCAGCAGAATAATGTACTTTTGCAACGCCTGTTGGGTCTACTTGAGATGCAGCATCAGCCGCCTCAGCAGCAAATTCCACAACAGCAACAGGAACCTCCACAACAGCAGCCTTATCAGCAACTGTTATTGCCACAGGAACAGCCACAGCTAGAGCAGCAAATCCCAGCAACTCTTCCACCTCTACCACCACCACCAGATATTTTAGATGGTACTCTGAACACTGAACCACCGACTGACATAAATGGAGAATTGCAACGGCCACGCCGTGGCAGAACAGTAGACCTCAGACGAAGACGCAGACGTTGATGTGGAAAAATAAACTGTATTCGGTTACAGTAAATGTATTTATTTAAAGCAATGTTTTATAGGGTTACCTAGTTGCAGATTGTGCCATGTCATTGCAGCCACATTATATGTTATGCCTGTTGCAGATATATAATAAAATGTATTGTGTACACCAAAAAGCTCAAAGCTATAATCAAAATTGACTTATGAACTCTTGTTGCTGATCATCAATTACTTGGATCTGCTTGCTAAAGTTCATAATATATAAGTTTAGAAAAATATTCTCTAGTATTCATGCGGTTGCATGAGAAAATTAATTCATTTTAATTCTTTGATTTATGCACCGCAGATCAGTTTAAAATGATGTTTTACTTTTACCACTTTCTCTGGTTAAGAAGATACATCTAAATGCTGTTTTAAAAGGTATTGTATTGCATATAGGTTCTCCAGTTCAATGGAAATAAATACAGTTATCAGAATTGCTGACTAACACAGAGATCTAAGATTGCCCAGTCATTCTGCATGCAATGTGAGATAGCTAAGCTCAAATATACCTTTTTGTAAACGTTTCAACATGTAAAAAAAAAAACAAAAAAAACATGTATATTTGGAAAATATGTCTGCCTATGAACAAATTTTAATAAAAGCAATCAATACATTTATCCAATTTTTTTTTATATGATCAAAGTCAATTGGAAATATTAAGCTGCACAACTGTTAGAACGTCAACATTGATGGTAATAAATATTTATCATGAAAATTCAGCTTTGTCATAACAGAAATAAATAATATTTTTAAAAACATTTTTTAAAGTTCTTTGTTGTTATATTTGTGATTTTTTAATGGCCCCAGGTGGATGTTTCTGCCTTTTCCTGTAAATTGTAATCAGATTACTAAAGAGTTAAAAATGCATAGGCCTATATTCATTACTAAATCTACACAAAAAGGACGTGAATACATTCGGTAAACACATGGCATGATCACGGTAATCAATAAATCTACTATATTAATATGTAAATCTAAGATGCAGAGTTGCAGATTCGCACCCATATTCGCTTATCGAAAGATGTCGCTTTAAATGTGGTCGCAGAGAGCGCATGTGACGTAACTACAGACTTCCAATCAATCGCTGGCTTCCATGTTTTTAGGGGTGGAGAAAAGAGAAAGAAAATGTGAAAATGGCTACTGTAATGTCTGAATCCGAACAGCCATTAGATAATAAACTCATTAACGGTTCACTCGCTGAAAATAAACCTGACCTACAACCTGCATCTTCTACAGTCGCTGGTTGTGACGCGGAGGTTTGTGCACAAGGCAGCGGCGTAAAAGGAGCGACAGAGCCTAGTGTTCCGTCTTCGCCAGCAAGTGAAAATTCATCTCCACATGGCGCTGCTCTTTCACCACGCAACAAAGATGAATCAGGAATGTCATGTAATAGGAAATTTACGGCGGACGAGCAAAAGACGGATGTGCTTTTCGAAAATAACGGTGACCTTGTTTCAGCTGAGCCCGCAACTGACTGCGGGGAGACCTCGGATCGTTTGCACAATGAAAACATCGGTAAGAACAACTTTGCACCAAGGGCAGACAGTAAATGCAACGCAGCGCTCTCTTAAAGATCGCTTAGACTTCACACACACACACACACACACACACACACACACACACACATATATTCAGCCGTGGAGAGATCATCTCGTGGAGCGTTTTTTTTTTTTTTTTTTTTTTTTTTTTTGGGTGGCAGCAATTAATTACTCTGCAATTGGCTTGTTCTAACCCAATCAGAAACAAAACTGCTTGTTTAACCCTTTCATGCTTGTAAATTAAGATCCGTTTTAGAGTTTTAATTAGATGGAATTGCATACAACACCTCAAAAGGTCATTTAAATACATTTTCCGCGTATCAGGTTTAATTAAAAAGAATGATTGAACTGTCCTTGTGAGACAAGCCATGACATGATAACAAAAGAGTATATATTTCTTATTGTAAGTAGAAATTTTGAATAGACATATCCATTTGCATAAGTTGCAATAAACACAACATATATTGCATCTGTGGGCTATAATCAACAACCTTAAATCAATTCACCTCCATCATTTTTTTATTGGTCATTTGCAATGCTTTATATTATTGTAATTCTTTATCACATTAAAGCCATGAAGTACACGGCCCTGTACCTCATTTAACACCTTTATAAATTTATAAATTTATATTGTATATTAATTACAATATTTGTTGGTCAAAACAAAGGTTTACCTTTTACATATTTGCTGTTTAATTATTTTTTTATGTTTTGTAATTATTGCTTGCTGAAAAGCCTATAATAGACTGTTTAATGAGCATGTTGTTACACAAATGCAGTGTGTATTTAGTTAACTTAAACTCTTTTTTTTTTTTCTTGGACAATAACGGTGGTAGTATATACTAGCTTTTTAGATTATCTACTCCTTTTTTACAACATTAAATGAATCTAAATAGGTTATTGCAATTATTTATCTGAATGACTTCTACATGTTGTGGTTTTACATTGCAAATTACACCTAATGTTTTCATTCCTGTCATTCCGCAGGGCAAGAAAACAACAAAGATGAAACGGCAGACAAAACTATAGAAAATGTCAGCAAAGACTTAAAGCTTGCTAGAGAGGAGGAACACCCACCAAAACAAGATGAAGAGTCGAAAAATGTAAGTGAAGAATCAAAGTCTCATGGAGAGGTAACACAAAGCACAGAAGTGGAGATGGAGGACAAAGGTTATCCTAAAAGCATGGACAAGGTTAAGGACAACACAGAAGAGAAGGATGCACAAAGTACAGAAGGAGAGACAGAAGACAAAGGAGATCCCAAAGGCACGGAGAAGGATAAGGACAACACCGAAGAGAAGGAAGATGAATCTAAGAGTGACGGGACAGGTAGAGTTGTAAAACGAAGGAAAAGCCGGCTGGAATGCAATGAGTGCGGTAAAAAGTTTACACGCCGCGAAACGTACAACCTCCATCGACACTTCCACATGCATCAGGATGAGCAGGCTTCCCTTGTTTGTAAAGAATGCGGCATCACTTTTCAGCATCGAAGTGACCTCATCAAACACCGCAGTATTCATAAAGAAAACAGCCAACCAAGTGTGTCTCATTCCAACCGCTCTAAGATTATGTACAAGGAACGGAGGAGATTTGTGTGTGAGCATTGCGGTATGTGTTTCTCGACAATGATGCGATTAAGGATTCATGCTTGTGAGCAGACTGTGGAGAAGCCTTTTCGCTGCCCTCTGTGCCGCAAAGAGTTCCAGTATAGGGTGTCCATCAATGCCCACATGCAGAGTCACTCATTAGACAGTCCTTATCGATGCCTGGAGTGCAACAAAGGCTTTCAGAGTTTGGGGACGCTGCATATCCACCAACGATCCCACGCTGCACTGAAGCCGTATGAGTGTCCAGATTGTAGTATGGTCTTTAAGCATCGCTACGTTATGGAGGACCATCGACGCAGGCACATGGAAGAAAGAGCCCACCTGTGCAAAATCTGTGGGAAGAGCTTCAAATACAGCAGCCTTTTGCAACAGCACCAGTATCTCCACACCGGCCGAAAGCCTTACCACTGCTCGTACTGTGGAAAAGCATTCGCTTTCGCGCAAAACATGCGAGCACATTGTCGACAACACAAAAAGATCTCGGCTAGGTCAGAGGCACGTATTGCAAACCATGATGTATCTTCTGTGGGGCAAGTAGGTAAAGAAAACGCAAAATTTGAGCAGCAGCGCAACTGTCCTCTATGCCCTCAAATTTTCTATAAAGCGTCTGATTTAAGAGCACACATGTTAATCCATGAAGCAGAGTATGAAAGAATGAGCAATGGCAAGAGATTCGATAAGGTCTATGCATGCCAATATTGTCCTCTCAAATTCCAGACCGAATCTCTCCTGCAGTCCCATTCGCAAACACATATGACAAACATTTTGGGTATCAACGCAACGCATATCACAAATCAGGTTAAAGCAGTACTTGAAAAGCAGGATTTTGGAATGGATGAGGCCGATATTGACAGCATGTCAGGAGGAGGGGGTTTGGAGAACCAAACAGAGAAGAAACCTTTCAGGTGTCGAGACTGTGGAAAGTGCTTTCGTTACCGTTCAGTGTTAGAGCTCCACATGCGAATACACAACAAGGGTTACCAGTGTCAAGTGTGTAAAAAGTCCTTTAGATTTAGTAGCTATTTGCAGCAGCATTCGATTATCCACACCGGCAAAAAGCCATACAAATGCCCAGACTGTGGAAAGGATTTTGCATTTCATCATAACATGAAAACGCACCAGCGGCTGCATCAACAAAAGCCGTTTCGCTGCACGCAGTGCCGTAAGGGCTACAGTGATGAGAGTCAGCTCCAGCGGCACATGCTTTCCCATACAGGAGAGAAACCTTACAAGTGTCATATGTGTGACAAGAGCTTTGCTTTGGCCTACTTGCTCCGAGATCATCTAAACACTCATACAGGGGAGAGACCCCACCGCTGCCAAGAGTGCCACAAGTCATTCCCTTGGCTTAGCAGTCTGCTTGTGCATCAAAAGATTCATATGCGTAAACGGCAAGGTCAGAGTCACAGTTATTCACTGTCCATACATTCTCAAAGAGGTAGAGTAAGTACAGGCAGGAGAGGTAGGCCAAGGTTAGATCGAGACATTGGAAGGACGGCACCTCTACCTGGTAGAATCGTACCAGAAACACTGTTGCCAAATGTGGTTCCACAACAATCCAGTAGCTTCAATGCAAATAGACGTGAACAGATGCAGCTGAGAGCGAGAAATCATTCCCAGCAGGTTCCGTTGCAGCAAGAATGGCAGCTACAAATGGCGCCTTCATCAGAAGAGCTGCTTCTCTCTCAGAAGCCCACCAGTTCATTGGATGCTCAGCAAACTAATTCAGTGCAGATGCAGTGGCCAGGAAGTCCCCTTAAGACGATCTTGCCTAAATGTGAGGATCTCCCAGAGCTCATGCACCAGCAGCAACATTCTCAAGCAAGTGTACCCATGTCAACACAACCTAATCATTACTCCGAGATAAATGTATCTGAAGCAGAGCAAAAGGGCAAGCATCCTTCTCTCTGGGTGAATACTCCAAACTCCACTCTGCAGAAGACCTCATCAGAATCACAACACCACATGGACAGGCCTTCACCTCTGAATGTGAAAATGCAGTCACCGAGGTCCATGCAAGACAAGCAGTCGCAATGGCCAGTACTCTGTGATTCAGTGCAAACGTCTAATCCAGAACTGTTCAATAATGCGTCAGAAGATGGTAAAGGAACTGTTGATTTGGATGCATCACCCAACAACAAATCTGATAAACTCACTCATGACTTGCAAATGCCAAATTCCTCTGGTCTGACTAAAACAGAAATGGGTCAGGCTGGTGGTGTAGTGCTATCTGCTGGTGCTTCCGTTCTACCGAATACTAATCCATGGGGAATGAAATCCTCTTTAGAAATGTCTACAACTGTGAGCTTACAAGAAATACCTGGGGATGCGTTAGAGAAGCAGCAAAGCAGAATAATCCAGCACTTGCCTCAACAAATGCAGCTACAACAGCAGCTTCTTCAACAGCAGCTTCATCAGCCACAACTCCAGGAACAGCCTCAAATACCTCCTACTTGGGTAAGTGCAACTCCACCAAACCAGATGGGACCCCTGAACATTCCGTTTGCACCTGCTCCTTTTCCTCTTGGGGACAGAACTCCGATGTGGGGGTTTCAGGCTACTCCAGTCGTTTCTCAAACCCTTGTAAATGGACCGGTTCAACAAGGCCACATCCAACAGCACGTAACTCTAATTTCTGGCCAGCGGATTCCTTTAAATAGCCCTCCATCTTTTATCTCACCACCTTTTCCTCCACCGGCTCTAAATTTACCTGCTCCACATCCTATGCATTCTGTTGGAAGGCAACTTCCAGGTCCGTTACCACAAGGCATCTTCTTCACCTCACAGGGAAACATAAATGAGATACCACTCATGTCACAAGTAACAAACTTACCTCAGTATGCCCAACAAACTGATCTACACAAAATGGGGAATAAAATGCCTTTTGCCCCAGATCACCTGTTCCAGTGCATGATATGTGGTTGTTCTTTGCCTGGAGAACTAGAATTACAAATGCATTATATGCAACATGCACAGCGAGATGTCTGAGTTAGATTTTTAGAAATGATATACAAAGCAACAATAGCTCAGTTTAGACTGTCTCTTTGCTGTTTTATTGTACATTGCTGTCAAGCTGCTGGAGTGTGTCATGATGATTTAAAAATGTATTAATGTTTTTATTCAGTTATTAAATTTTCCAGCTGAACTTATATACTAGTTTTGTGTGCTTTGTTATCCCCCTAAAAGACCCCCTGTGGTGAAAGTTTTGCTGATTTTTTTTTTTTTATTTTTTTTTGAAGGCAGCTAACTGACTCGAAGATGGCGATCGGGAACATGGTTTGTGAAATAACACATTATTAGTGTTTGATAACGTAGTCAAGCAAAAGGCTAATCATATTAATTGCCGTTAAAACGCATTCCCATTCTGATACATCGGCTTGTACAGCTTGTGTGAGTGAGTGGAGGCAGGGCTGATTTGCATATTAATAGATTCGTGCTTATTAAATGAAGGGTGTATAGTTCTATTAAAGCCATTTTAAGGCATAAATAAAACCATTCACAGGGGGGAAAAACTTTGAATGTCATTTTGGTGATAAAGATTAGTTACAAGGGATGCAATTTTTGAGTACAGGGGGACTTGGACTTGGGGAACTGCAGTGTTTGCGTAACTTCAGTACATATTGAATTCAAATTCAATCATGCACTTTTTTGCCTTAACTTTTTGCTTTATACAAAAATTGTTATCTTATGGTCATCATGATGGAGTTCAAATAGGATTTCAGATTCACAAGGACGTAATTGTCATGCAATGATGTGCCATAACCTTCTGATAATCTGTAATACATTTGACATTTCAAGTTTAGATTGTTTTCACCGGTTGTTAAACTTTTAGTATTAATATAAAATTAGACAAAATAAATAAAAATTCATTTTAAATATTAATAGTAATTTAACGTTTCATTTAAATGCACAAAATACTGATTCGAGGATGTTGGTGCTTTAAAAAAAAACTTATATAGTCAATTGTTTAAATTTATGTAAACATTTAATAAAGTGCATGTATTTCATAATTTTACCTTAAATCATTATTGTTGTATGTAACTATGTTGAAGTTGCAAGTCATTGAAATGCCTGATTTTTATACATATATAATTATATCCAGTGGTTTCAGCTTCATCGAATCAAGTATGTGTTTGTGTGTACTCTTGTGTATGCAATTGTTTTGTTTTGTAATTGTTTTTATATTAATTATATGATATATTATATATATAATTAATTAAATTAATATGTTATATATTAATTTAATTTACATTTTTCGTTGAACAAAAAAAATATAGATTTTTTTAATTACTGCCATAATTACAATAATTATGGCAGTAATTAATTATAGTAACAGCCATCCTCCATAATTATAATTAATTATAATAACACTTAATTATAATAACAGCCATCCTCATACTTTATGGGATAGAGACCTGAAAGATTACACATTTGTTGGTTTATATTGTAAACATTGTACAGGAAGTATAAAGACTGAATAGATTGATACAATGGTCTAAATGGCACACCTAAATAAAATAAAATGTGCCTTTCACTTCTCCAATAGAGTATGACTGTAGAAATATTTTTTGTATTGAACATTGATGGAGCAATAGCTTTTGTATGAAAATAAATAATGAAAGTGGTTTGTTTTGTTTAAAAATCTTTTAAATATATGAGGTGGCAAGGTGGGTCTTTTACCCACATACTGAATCTAAAGTAAAATGTTTTGAGGAATATAGGCAAAAAGTTAAGACTTGTTCAAAAATCATAGTTGAGTTTGTGCTGTTTTCTGTTTATTTTGATAATAAAATAACGTGTTTTTTGTCAATAAATATAGGACACTCATTAAAATATGTTCATGTTCACAGGAACAAAATTATTTTAAAAAGTAAAGATTCTGATAGCATTTAATGAGATCCCATTATAATTTAATATAACTTCACAGCAGTAACACTAAATGTGATATTTTATTACATATAAGTAATTTTTTTTTAAATAAGGTGGTTTCATTATAAATATAGTAATTATCTCTAAGTTGGACACCTACTTAATATATATTTACCATCTAAATCTAACAATGTCATGTCAACAAGTAGAAAAGCTATTTATTATCACGTTAATTATTGTTCATTTACAACGGCAGGGGCGCTGTTTGCCTCCAAATGCCATAGTTTTACAATTATTGAAAAACAGTTGCTTTATATACCTTGAACAAAACTGAAAAACATTAACAAGACTTTTGTCTCAAAATATAGTAATTTTATCGATTCCCATTTGCTAACTTACATTTACAACACTTTAAAAACATTAAATAAATCAACTTTGCTGTCCGAGATCGCTGTAAGGAAGAGACACATTTCAACGTGCATAGTCAAACCTATGAGTCAAACGCGGTTGTTATAAAAAGTATTGGGCTGAATTGTTGTGCCATAGCGAATAAAATCAAATGCGCCTTTACAACCCCGCTGTAACGTTAGCCCACTTGTACCGACTTGTACCCATTGGCGTAGGGATTGCTGCCATGGCCATTTTGAACTGGATTCTTTTGTTATTGTAAAATGTACATGTACACCTGAAATTCATCCTGCCCATATTCCATACACATACAAATCTCAGAACGTGTTTGTCTTCTTGAAGGATTGTATATAAACCCAACGTTTCAATTACATCTACATGAAGCCTACAAAAATAAATGGACAACGTTTTTCACAATCGACACAGATATAACATTTGAACTGAAAATATATAATGAAAAATGCATGTAAAAAAAAAATAAATAAATAAGGAGATTAATTTAGATAAATGACATATGACCCGCGAAATTACCTCCTAGATTGTAAAAAAAATTACAAACAGCTTCCGGGCCGCTAAGCCCTGCCCATATAATTCCTTATTTCATGTATATATATATAATAGCTTTTATCAATGAATATCGTATTATCACATCCTATTATATCTTACGATTCTATATATCGTATCTGATCATATATTGCACCTATGGAATTTGTTCAGGCAGACGTCATGTGATGGAGCCAGAAGGAACGTAGCCTAATTAATATTCATGAGCTAACGTTTCGCCATAGTAGGTTTCGTAAATTTGTCTCCCCCAACAACAACACTGTCCTTTACCGCGAAAAGTGCGGTACCTTTCCCATCGTAAGCCTGAGCTGGCTATAGCCATTATGGCTGCGGTTTATTCGGAAAAGGAGTGCAGTTTGCAATCAAATAATGAAAATTTGTCTTCTGAACATGCGAAACGTTCAGCCCAAGATGTAAACATCGATCCAGTGAGCAATAGCAAAGCCAGTAATGCTAGAAACACGGGCGGAGAAATGGAAATATGTCCCCGTGGCCCTAAATTGAAAGCCCAGGACCACGCCGAAGTTGTTGGAGCCAATGCTGCATTTCCACCCATGAAGATTAAAACAGAGCAAGTGGAGGAAGATGAATGTGTGGTTGTACATGTGGACGAGGTTGAGGAAGGAGATTTGGCTGATATATTTACCAGTACAGGAGACTCGTCTGAGAGAGATGGAAGTACCGAAGGTAAGCAACTTTTTTTTTATGACAACAACGACCTTTCAGTTAGTCCCTACCTACTAGTTATCTTTTAACTTGAAAACAAATCAAGAAGGTATATAAAGTCCCCTAAAATTAAATTAACACCATCTCCCACATTTTAGGAGTAAGTACTGCACACAACCTTTGCATCATATTTTGTTTTCATATAATTGTACTTAATTTAGATGTGTGTCTTACTTATTATGGTTTATATTTTGCGTTAAAACAGCTGGGTTAATTTGCACCAATGGAGACGTGTCGTCACGAGGAATGACAAAAAAGGCGCAGAACTGCATGTCCATGAGGATTTTTATTTTTAACCATGTTTTGCTTCCTGCCGGTCGTTACATTTTAGTATTATGGTTGACTGATTTGGCTGGCATTTCACAACGCTGAGATGTTCGTCTAACCTTTTTTTTTTTTCATTTCTGAGCAGACATTGTAGTAGGCGACGAGATGTTGGCTACTGGTTAATTTTATCTACTCCACCTTAATTTATATTGCAGTATCGCCGTTTTGCAGTAGATGGCAGTCTTTACTCAACCTTTGAATTGCGCATGTGCGTAAAACAATAAAATTAAAGGCGAAATTAAATATAGTTTTAAGACACGATTTTTCTGTTTTAATTCTCTATATAATATGTTTGTGAAATGTATTTTAATATTTTATTAATTTTAATAATGTGACTTATTGGGTCATATCATGGTCAATGTCAATATCTTTGGTATTAATTTGAGGTGGAACAAATAAATCAAACCAGAAGCCGAATTGACAACAGGTTTCTTTAACAAAGCTGCCTGCCAGACCGTCTTAATTTACAGTTGTGTAAAATTTAAACAATGAAATCATTCTAACCTTTATTTTGTAGTTTTATTGTTGTGTGTTTTTTTTTTTTTTTTTTTTTTTTGTTTTTTTTCTTATTAGGAACCGAAGTTGCATAAAAACAGTAGATTGTATTTGGTTTTTTTCCCCTTATCATTTTTTATGGATAAATTATGTCTGATGGTTGCAATACACAATGCAAATTTGATTATTATTATTATTTGTTTGTTTTTTTTTTTGTTTTTTTTCTTCATTATTTGGAGCGTAAGGGGTCTTCTCATTTTAATTAGTTTGTTCTGTACACTGTTTATTTTTTATTTTTTTCTCTCTGGCCACAGGACTCACCCTGACCTCCCATTTTCCCCTCTTGTATTTTTAGGGGATAGGCCATTTCACTGTGAAGATTGCAGTGAGGCATTTGGGAATAAGGAGGATTACTTGGAGCATCGCAGCGAGCATATCCATGATGGTCCCATAGTCTGCCTGGACACAGATTCGCAGTGGGATGACCTGCTCATCTCGACCGACGGAGGCCGAAGAACGTTGTTCTGTGCTCTGTGTGGACAAAAGTTCTCAAGCTCGAAAGGCTTTTTCACCCATCAACTGAAGCATCGCAATCAAGACATTAAACAGGGGGCAGGTGACGGCTTTGGTGAGGGTGCAGGAAGACAGAAGCTTTTTGAATGCAAGGATTGTGGTAAAGCTTATACGACTGTTGGTCAGTGTCTCAACCATCAGCGTTCACATAAGCAGGCCTCAAAGTCTGTGTTTCATCAGCTTGCTCATCTAAAGAAAAAGTCATTTCAGTGCCCCACCTGTGGACGCTGTTACTCTCGGGCTTCGGCTCTTGACGCACATCGTCGTTGTCATGAGGTAAAGCTGGTTAAATCCAAAACCTGTGAAACTGAGAAACCTATGCCACTTAATGAATCTCCAGGTCAAACTGAAGACAACGGCACAAGCTCTGAACAGCCTGAGGGGCATGAGCAAAAAGTTTTTCAGTGCTTCTGTGGCAAATCTTTTCGCGCCATGTGTGGTCTCAGTACTCACAAGAGATTCTCAACCAGCTGTTCAGATGGGAAGGTGAAGGAGGAAATTAAGCATTCGTTTGTTTGCTCTGAATGTGGCAAGACCTTCGTTAGCTCTGTGGCTCTGTTGTGCCATCAGCGTTGGCATAAAAGACGGGCACAACTTGTCTGCAATGGCGAGCCATATAAATGTACAGAGTGCGGCAAGGTCTTCACTTCCCTCACATTTTACAATAAGCATCAGCGATTGGCGCACAGTGAAGAGCTGCCAGCGAAATCATTCCTTCATCAAGTTATTCAGCTCAAGAAGAAGGCTTTTGAGTGTCCGGAGTGTGGTCGTCGGTTCTCGCGAGCATCCGCCCTGCAGTCGCATCAGCTCTGTCATACTGATGTCTTCGGCGACATCATGGAGAAGAAGCCTGAGATGAGCACAGCCACTCACACATTAAAAATGAACCAGAATGACAATGCCGACAGTGTGGTTATTCATTCTGTGGAGACCTCACACGCTCAAGTTCAAAAGAAAGATTTGAACCTCACCGACACAGTAGAAGAGGATGGGGCCATTGATGTTGATTATGAAGTTGTCCATATCACGGCTTCAGATGATTATGAGAACAACAGTGGTTTCTCTCGGGATCAAAATCCTGATCTTGAGTTAGTGTGTGAATCAGACCAAGAGGAAAAAGATGACTTGGGCTTCAATTTGAGTCAGACAGCTGAATCCACCTCATCCCTGCAGTTGAATCCAGAGATTGATGTCAAAATTGTACAGATTGATTATGAGCATTTAAACGATGAACCATTAACAAATGCGCAACTCTTGAGCAAAAGCCGTCCTCAAGAGGCGAAATATAATTGTCCACACTGTGATCGTAAATTTGTCAAGGGTTCGTCCTTGCGCTGTCACATACTTTGGCACAAGGGATGCATGGGGAAAAAATCGGATAGGAGGCAGAAGTTTAACGTAGTGACGCCAACAAAGAAGGAACTTTTAACATGCAATGTGTTTGGTCATGAAAGTCCTTCCAAGAGTGCTGATTGCTTTAACACAGTAAAGCATGAGGATAAAGTGGCGTACAAGTCTATTTCATACCAACTTGAAAATCTGCAGAAGAACAACATTAAATGTGAAGAGTGTGGCATGTGTTTTTCCCGACTATCTGCACTGCATTCTCACCAACAGCATCACGATAGAAAAAAAAAGACCTTTGCTTGCGTGCAGTGTGACAAGAGCTATACGACCCCAAGTGGTCTGTACAACCATCTGAAGGTTTGCTCTGGCGGTGCCAAAGACGAAAAGAGAAAGAATTTCAACCCGACCAAGTCACTTTTGGGCCCAAAGGTTTATCACTGTAAAAAGTGTGGTAAAGGTTTTTGGTCTTTGGGTGCTTTCTGTCATCACAAACAAAACCACTCAGAGTGTGCACATTTCGAAACAAGGGCCCCTGGTACGCCTGACACTGAGAACTGTCACATACGACGGAAGAAAAGGGGTCGGAGGGGTGGTTATAGAAGAGTGCACCCTATGAATTCAAGAGAGGAACACGTATGCGAGGTGTGCGGCAAATCATACCACATGCTAGGTTGTTTTCTTAAACACAAACTTGTCCATGACACCCAACCTGCTGTCAAATCTTTTGACTATCAAGTCCAACAGTTGAAAAAGAACTCCTACCAATGTCCCGACTGTTCAAAGGTTTTCTCGCGTGCCATGGCCCTCCAGTTTCACATGAAAAGTCATGGTTTTGAGACTGGCCTTCCTTTGATGGACTCTGACTCCTCTGAGCGACCTCAATGCCCAACATGCTACTCTTTTTTTGCATCTGAGTCGATACTACAAAATCATCAGAAGCACTGTGTAAAACCCCAGGACAATGTGGAACTTCCACAAGAATGTTTTGAGAGAGAGGAGCAAGACACATCCTCCCAAAAAGCTAAAGATGTTGTTGACACTTCTCATTCAAAGGATTCTAAAAAAGAACAAAACACACCTTTAGCTTCAGATCTGAAATACAAATGTCAAGAATGTAGCAGAAGCTTTTCTGTAATTGGTGCTCTAAATTTTCACAAGCGAATTCATCGTAAAGGTCACCAATCTAAAAAGTTAAAATCCAATTCGGCAAAGCCATTAAAGCTTGGTAAAGGAAAGCCAGAGAAGTGTTTGGCAAAATCGCCTTTTGTTTGTGCTGAATGTGGAAGATATTTTAGCACCAATTCAGCTCTTGGCACACATAAACGGTGGCACAAGGACAAAAAATTTGCCAGATTTCTCTCCAAGACCAATAAGATACACTCAAAGAAAAGTGTGGATGGTGGACCTTACTTATGCAATGTATGCGGGAAAGGATTCTTCTACCTTTGTGTTCTTCGCCGCCATCAACTACATCACCCTACCATGCAGACTCAACCCCAAAAAGAGCACGAAGTTGCCGAAACAAATGGTGTTTTTACCTGTCCAGATTGTCAAATGTCTTTCTCAAGTGGGTCTCTTCTAACATCTCACTTTGCAGACCACCACAGCAAGCCTACTGAGACTGAGAAACGACAGTCTGAAATCCTCTCTGCAGATGAGTCGGGTCCACCCGTCAAACTATTGTACGCATCTAAAAAGGATGTTGCCAAACGAGAGAAGGCTGAGGTAAAACACTTTCAATGCTCATACTGTGATAAGAGCTTCCTGAACATACGTGGCCTTCGTGCGCACAAATGGCAGAAACACCACAAGGTTAGTGAACGACCCACTGCCTCTCAAGAAGAGCGCTCTGCATTTGTAAAGCCCTTTGCTTCTGAAGGGCCCCTTCGTAAAACGTCCAGCAAGAAAGAGCTGAAAGCATCTACGGAGGAGGATCCCGTACAGCACAATCGAAATTTCGAATTTGCGAAATGTTTTTTCAAATGCGATAAATGTGCTAAAGCGTTTCCTAGCGAGGAACAGTTAAACGCCCATAAGGAGGTGGCGAAGACTCGTCCGCACTGCTGCGCTCTTTGCTGCCGTGGTTACTGGACTGAAAACCAGCTGCAGCATCATCTCGCATGGCACAACGAAGTGCGCCGGCGTCTCCCAACTGAGCTGCGATACAGACTGAGTGCTTCCCTTGCACCTGGGCCTTCAGACAACCAGCAGGCTTTATCACACAGATCTGAGTCTACAGTCAAGCTGCCTGTAGCCCTTGTGTGTCCACAAGCGAATAGCCATAAATGTCAGCAATGTGGAAAAACCTTTTTGTCACCTCGTGCGTTGCAGCAGCACCAGACTCTTCACAAGGACGAGGAGCCGTACCATTGTTCGCTGTGTTCACAGACATTTAGCGATCTCAGAAATCTTATCGACCACCATCAGGAGTGCTTGGGTGATAAAGAGTTAAAAGACAGTAGCTCAGTTTCTGAAGTAAGAGACGCTGCTAACCTGACATGCATTGAGTGTGGCATTTCCTTCAAACAGGAAACAGAACTGCATCAGCATTATATTGAACATGCACGTGGGTTCTAAAACTTGAGAAAAAAAATGCATGGAGAGGGATATTGATATCTAACACACTGTTTACTGCATCTGCACTGATTTAATCGAGTTTTGTGACCTGCTGTGAGTGATATGACTGTATGCTTAAGGAGTAAGGAAAATGGCACTATCAGCTTTTAAATTCTAAAATACATTTTAAAAAAGAATTGCTGAAATTGTTGTTAAGAGAAAAGGCCCCATAGCATTATTGCAGATGTCCTCTAAACCAAATTATGTGTTGTAATTACTTGCATAAAAGCTGTGCATTTCTATCATTCCCTTTAAAATCTTGTTAGATCTCTCCAAGTTCTATCTATTTAGAGGTTTTTAAAAGATTTACTTTACCTCATTTTTTTTGACTGCTCAATGTTGTGTCTGTGTTGATTTCTATCACCTGGCTTGTACTTGAAAAGGGTACTTAATTTGAACTACCAAGTTCTTTGCTAGATATTTTTTGTACATGTTATTTCAAAAATTGTTTGAAGATTTTTTTTATAAGCATTAGCCTACAGCTTAAGCCTCATGTGTGGTCATGCTAAACTTTGATTTGGGATTTGTACAGCTTCTGTTAACGCCAGTGCCATTGTTCCTTAATTGCTATTGACATTGACATGACATTTTTACAGACCACAATTCCGTTGCATTTAGGTTTCTGTTTGCATTTTAAAAGTTTTCATCTTTCTACTTTTTGAAAACATTTGGGGTTTGACGTTTCTCTTGAAAATGAAGATTTCCTTTCTAGATATAATGTTATATGTTCCTTGTGAAATTGCCCTGAAGTCATGTTAATGACATCAAGAATGTATGAATAAGATGCAAATGTCAAAGCAGAAGCAAGGTTTTTTGTGTAGGTACTGTATATGGCATTATGAATCATAAAGAAAATGACAAATTATTTGAACAACCGAATCACCTTGTGATATTAAATTGAATAGTTATATTAACATTCCATTTTGTTGTCTTGTCTGGGTGGTGACATTAAAGGTTTATGGGTTGGTTTGTTAATAAAGAACCATCTTTTAATTCCCTTATAAAGTTGAGTCATTGATCATAATTTCAGCTTATTAATATGTAGCTGATATGTTGGCTGTTATACATGACAGTGGTGGTACAGAAGCCGTGGTTGTTAATTGATCAATTTGGTGGTACAGTATCATTGAATGGTATGACATATTTTTGCATTTAGCATGCTTTTTGTCCTTGGGAAAACTGATAAATATTAACATGAATAGTTTATTTTACCAGCAGATTTATTTAATGTTCTTACATGCAAATATTTGTTGTAGCTGGCTAATAAAACCCATTGTTTGCATTATGTAGTGTGTGATTCTAAACACATCCTACCACACTAGAACCATTTTTGAGACACCTGGATGATCCATTAAAGTTGCCAAAATTATGCTCTTTACAAAAAAAGAACACTGCATGTAATAGTGTATTCTACATTGTGCTTAAATTGACCTTCCATTTCCAGAGTAACATATTCTTGCCTTGGCCTGACTGCCTTTTTATAACAAATAAATCCAAAAATGTTAATGTATTTGTTGAATAACTAGAAGCCACATGCTGAAATACACTTTTTAACTTGTGATAATTTCCTTGAAACTTTGCAATTATTGTTATTTTAAATAGGCAGTGCTATTCGTACAGTAGAAGTATGTTAGTGTTTCAATGACAATTGTAATAACATTACAATAAAACATTAAAGGGATAGTTCACTTTGAAATACATTTTTGATGTGTTTTAGCTTACCTCGAGGGCATCCAAGATGTAGGTGTCTTTGTTTCCACAGCATTTTCAATTTTGATATTTTTAGATCAAACCGTTGTTGTCTGTCAGTCATATAATGCAGGTCTATGGTGTCCACCTCAAAGAGCATGCACAGAGAAGTCCAAATTAAACATGATTTAATGACTCGTAAATGTAAGTAGACATTTATGGCCTGAGACATGAAACGAGCGGTTTGTGTCAGAAAAGGAACAGAATTTATATCGTTTTTAGCTCTTGTAACCACAGCCACGTTGAAGTGATCTGAAGGCACGGGCGCTTTGTGACTGTGGTTACAAGAGCTAAAAACGATATAAATTCTGTTCTGCTCGTTTCGTGTCTTAGGCCATAAATGTCTACTTACATTTACGAGTCATTAAATCATGTTTAATTTGGACTTCTCTGTGCATGCTCTTTGAGGTGGACCCCATAGACCTCCATTATATGACTGACAGACAAGAACGGTTTGACCCAAAAATATCAAAATTGAAAATACTGAAACAAAGACACCTACATCTTGGATGGCCTTGAGGTCAGCTAAAACATCAAAAATTAATTTCAAAGTGAACTATCCCTTTAAAACACTTAAGTTGGGAAAATGTTGCAGCAGACATTGGAATTTTGCTTTGCTCTTTTCTCGCGAGGGATTGAAAAGACACTTGCGTTGCCATGACAACAAAAAACACACACATGCAACATATCTGCTAGAAGTCCTTTCGGGGTTTTAGCCGTACTTCGGAACCATTTTAACGTTTACACTGGTGCCAGGCCTTACTCGTGGCCGTTGCCACAAGAGTTTCTCGCAACTAGGAAATTGAATTGCCCATTGGAAGAAACACCTACTGGAGGTCTTTAAAGAAGGAGATGATGTTCCCTTTGGAAGAAAGGACACTGGTTTTAGAGGAAAGAATTGAGTGTCATTTATGGAAGAAGTCATTTTAGGAGTAATTCATTTTTTCAATCAACAAGAGGAAATGAAAAAGAACCCATGCAGATGAAGAAAGTGGTGAAGTGAAAATCAATGTGTGGATCACTTTTCATTGGAGAGTCTGAGCTTCACATGCATTATATGAAGCATGCAAGTGGGGAAGTTTAATACACAGATGCTTATTATTAATGTGGCAACAGTGGATTTCGACACTGCTTTACCACTGCTTTTTCAATTTTGGCCTGTTCATGTTCATGTCTGTTTCTTACTAGTGTCTTAAATCGAGAATCTTTGTTGGTTGAGAATGGACTAGTTTGTGTTACCGAATAAAGTTTTTTATTTCTTTATTTATTGCTGTTAAGAATTGTTACTTGTTATCATGTGTCGGATCAATGCATTATCAATACATGATATGTTAATCATAGAACTGCTGTGGTGTTGATTAAACAGTTAGGCTAAATAAATAATACATGGTTTAAGTTGTGCTTTACTAAAAATGTAAAAGCATTTTTTTTTTTTTTATTAAATCTTTGTACTGCATGTACACTACCTTGGTTTTATCATGTTCATGGAAAACTTATTGATAAGAATTGTTGTTCCAGGTGTTAATTTTCACTTATGAATAATTTGCCAAGATCTTATTGGTTGTTGTACCAATGTTAAAAACCCTTAAATAACTTAAAAAGGTGATTCTTGATTCTTGAACTTAGCAGAAGTCTTCTCTCTTGTTACTTCGTTCTGGTGTTATACATTGTAATGAAGACTATTGTGTTTGCTTTGCTGGCTGTGGCTGTGGGTATGTAGATTTCTCTTATAATGTCAAATATTAGTAGGCTATCTCCCTACACAGTGACCTGTAAAATTCCTTAGTCTTTAAGATTAATTTCAGACTTAAAATGTTGGTTGATCAGATAAAACAGCAAAATATGAAAAACAAACATCAGTTCATGTACTCAGACACAACTAGTTTTAAAATAATGATTTTATTTACTTTATTTTGGGCACTTTGTGAACAATTAAACTCTTTTTATGAAGCTTGCAGTGAAGATGATAAAATCATTGGAGGTTATGAATGTTCAACCAACTCCCAGCCCTGGCAAGTCTACCTTACTTACGATAATGGGGAACGCTGGTGTGGAGCATCTGTGATTAATGAAAGATGGCTTGTTTCTGCTGCTCACTGCTACGTTTCGTGAGTATAACTTTTATTTACTAGTACTACATTTATGTTAAACCTCACCAATCTCCTTTTTCCTTATAGAACAACTTTTTAAAAAGGACTAATAGCAGCTGCATGTTAACATGTGTATTGTGAATACACTGAAAATGATGATTGTAAAATGTAACAGATACAGAATGTTTAAACCAAAGGCTTTTAAAAAAGTTACACATTCAATTCTAAAATAAAGATGAGAGTCCATTAACCAAACATTTGAGACTATCCATAGACATAATATGTAGGTAGGCAATATTGCTGATAAAAGTTGTATTAGAGCCCAGTAACATATGAGTTGTTTGTCAAATAGAGCTTCTCGTCTTACTGTCCACCTGGGAGAGCACAATATCGACATTGAAGAAGGCACAGAGCAGCGGATCGGGGCAGAGAAAGTGATTCCTCACCCGGACTATAATGATAATACGATTGACAATGATATCATGCTGATCAAGCTGAAAGAGCCTGCCATCTTCAACCAGTATGTGCAGCCAATCCCTCTAGCAACCAGTTGCTCTTCTGCGGGGGATCAGTGCTTGGTTTCTGGATGGGGAAATCAGATCACCACTGGAGGTGAGATGGCTGAGTAATGCCAATATGCCGAGCATCAGTGCTGGAACTATGTTATCACTCTGCTTCTTCGTGTGTTCCAGACAGACTGTTGGTCTGTGTATTACTGGTGGAGATTTTTCAGTGACTGCAGGTTACATCAATGTGCCAGTAGGTGGTGATATGTAAAGGCTGGAATACACTGCATGACTTTTGCCCAAATTTCCAGTTTGGATGAGTTAATGCTAGTTTCAGGAAGTCAGTCTGCAGATTTTGCCAAATCGAAGTTGACGGATCAAGCACAATTTATCTGGAGGGTGACGTGACGGTTAAGTCTGCATCCTCCGTTAAGCAGCCAAAGAAGAAGATGTGTCTTTGTCAAGTAGTTTCCTGTAACCTCTGTTGAGTCCATGTCCATAGTTTTTTCATGCTTTGTTTTATTTGAACTATTAAACCTACCCTAACCAACCTATGCGCATCCTATGCATGTAAAAACAAATTTTCACGTATAAATTGCACCATAAACACACTGCGTGCTATAGAGACGCATTTAGTGTGATCAGGTTGCTATCTATCTATCTATCTATCTATCTATCTATCTATCTATCTATCTATCAATCAGTTATGTACAGGATTCAAATCTTTAACGTTGTTCTTGTACTCTTTTTCCAGTTGACTATGCTTCTACGCTGCAGTGTCTGAATTTGCCTGTACTGTCAAGGGCACAGTGTGAGGGTGCGTATGGATGGCAAATAACTGAAAACATGTTCTGTGCTGGATTCATGGAGGGAGGCAAAGACTCATGTCAGGTACATTGACGTAGGCTTCTTTTTTTTTTTTGTCTGTTATATAATTTCATAGAAAATCACACATTTCTTCTTTTCCTTTTCCAAATATGCTCAGGGTGATTCTGGCGGTCCTGTGGTGTGCAATGGGGAACTGCGAGGAGTTGTTTCCTGGGGTTATGGCTGTGCTCAACCTGGCTATCCTGGGGTTTATGCTGAGGTGTGTCGCTACACTGACTGGGTCAAATCCACCATTGCTAACAACTAACTGTTTTTTCAGTCGAGTTGGACCTTTAATTAAAATTATTTTTATTTTTTTTCTGAAATATCTGTGGTTAATTTCAGCTTGGAACAATAAAAGTGTTTCTGTCCATTCATTTTAAATGGATATAGCCTAGTATTTTAAGTTTTCTTAGCCAAGGTTGCTCTTAGCCCAAAATGTAAACCCAAAAAGGGAGAGTCAAATTGCTATTCCTTGTGTTCACAATCACAGACTTGTGATATCAGAAATCTTGCTGACCATCATCAGGGGAATTTAAAGAGACAATAGAGATAAGAAAGGGATAACACACAGTCAGCTGGTCATTATTGCTAGATAATGGGAAAAAAATGCAATCTGGATTGGTTTATTTTGTAAAAATGGCTGAATAGTTGTACATTACCTTGCTTATTACATGGCTGTTTACACATGGACATGATATTGATTTGAGTTTAAATTCTTTAATAATAAAAAATAGCTGGTTCACATGTAAAAAAACAAACAATGGTAGTCAGAATTTGGTGTTAACAGCATAAAAGCATGGATCCATACTGCCTTGAATCAATGATTCAGACTGCTGGACTGGTGGTGTAATGGTGTGGGAGTATTTTCTTGCACATTTGGCCTTTTAGTATCAACTGAGCATTGTTAAATGCCACAACCTACCTATTGTTGCTGACCATGTCCATCCCTTTATGACCACAGTGTACCCATCTTCTGATGGCTACTTCCAGCATGATAATGCACCATGTAACAAAGCTCAAATCATCTCAAACTGGTTTGTTGAACAAGACAGTGAGTTCACTATACTCAA